CCCCCCCCCCCCCCCCCTCCAAGTCCTCGAAACACCAACGGTAGTAGCCTTGCTGAATCCCGAATGACAACAATCCTCTCAGAGCCACAAAGCCGTCCTAAAACTTCCCTACATCGGTGCTCCTACACCGCGTGTGCGGAAGGTCTGTTTAGTCCCGGTGGTCCTTGTGGAGCTGCGCGAAGCCCTTCTTGTGGCTGGTGTAAGTCCCGTACACAATGCCCACGCACATCATCACCTCCGGACCGTACTCGATGAAGCGAGTCTTCAACTGGTGGACCGCCCCACACCACAAGGACAAGCGCGCAGTTTGCCGTACAGCCGAAAGCGGAGGCGGGTCAGGGCCAACACGTGGGACACGGGGGGAGTGCCGGCAATGGCGGTTTGCACACGTCAACCGGACAACGCGATGCTCAAAGCCTGCTTGCACTACTCTAGGAGCTGCAGTGGCTAGCACAGCCTGCATAAAAGTGCAGGGTAGCGTCGAACTACAACGGCCAAACTACGGTAGGTACTCCACATGGTCGGCCTTGGGGAAGTGCATCCTAGCGAGTGATACTTGGCTATTGCTTACAACACCTCCAAGCGAGGACCTCACTTTTGCTGAAGTACGTCGGGAGGCCTTCCGCATCAATACCCCAGTGTACGATGATACCATGCAAATAAACCAAAACACCAACGGACGAGACCATGCCATCTAGAACACATACCATTACATAGACCATACCTTCTTGGGGATGGTGGTGACGAAGTTCCGTACCAAGTTGAGCTGGTAGGGAGAAATGGACCGGATGACCTGGTACCGATCAAACCGCCGGGTTTGTTAGACACAACGACCACGACGAGAAGCAACGCGCACGTTTTCGCCGGGAGCAGCAATCAGCAATCACGCAGACACGAAAGAGCCCCCTTCACACGCCAGGGGCCACAGCAGCGGCAGAGATGGGAGTGCGTCTGTCATGGATCAGTTTCGCAGGTTAAAGGTTCGAGCTTCCAGGACTATGAGATAGCTGCCAGGATAAAGTGTAACTGGCAATCTCGGTCAAGATATAGTCTATATCCACGAAACCAGCTACTTGTAAGCTTGGTCACATGCAGCGGTGCCTAGCTCTGTTGGTAGCCTCGCAGCCTTCTGGCGTTTGAGACACGGGGTGGAATATCAGCGCAGTCACACGTGCGTTGGGAATTGCCTCAATTGCTGCTGCATGCACGAACGCAAGGCAATATATTCGTTTTACCAACCGGGTTGTAATGTCAAGACAACAACAACAACCCACCGGCTTCACTGTCGACTAGACAGGAACGGCTGAATCCGTTCTCGGGATACAAACCAACGCAAGCGCCGCAGCTCAAGGACATAAAGAAGAAACAAAGTGAAGTCATCCTCCTGTTTGGCCCGACCGAAAGGTCGAAAGAAGGACGATCGATGTTGAGAGTAAATGCGACGGCCAAAACAAACACACTGCAGCAGTAGCGGCACTCCAACCTGCTGGAGGACAAAACTTGCGGCCGGAAAACAGCTAACGCAGAATCGTAGATACGGCAGATGCAGCATCTACCATCATCTCCGGTATTCTAGCAACTCCAGGCAAAGGATAAGGACTAGGCTTTGGGAGACAACACACACAAACCCATGGGGACGCATGTACGACATGCACTCACACCCTTCACAGGCCGAAAACAGGAAAACATTCCATACGGGAAAAAAAGGACAAAACGTTCCAGTCTCAATCCCCTTTCTTGCTGTGCCACAACGGTGTATCCTGTCCCTTCAACCGCCAACCCGTCAATTTACAATGGAGGCAATTATGGTACTCCTAAACATAAGATAGTCTTTGCTTTGGCATGGGTATGAAACCCGTAACCCTATCCCTATCCCTAACCCTATTCCCAAACCCACCCGATAGGTGCTAGGTTGGCGCTGGGTGGTTAACTTCTAGGTTGGTGTACCGGAATTGGCGGTAAGTTGGTGCTAGGTGGGTTCCTGACGTGGTGCTAGGCTAATGGTGCTCGGAGTAGGCCTAGACCGCTCTCGGGTAGTAAACGGTGCTCGTGCAGGTCTGCATAGGCGGGACGGCCAAGTGTGGGTGCAGGCTTACGTACGTCCCCGCGGGTGCATCGAATATTTTTCCTGGTATTGCTCCCCGAGTTGCTGGAAGAAGGTATCTGTCTGCGATTGCGCGCTACAGCAATTTTTGCTGCTCTTCACGAGACACCTACTGATGCGAAGGTCTCTAATGCCTCCGCCAGCATTTTCCTGACGCCGATAAGATGCTGCTTCCTGGTGTAACTGTCGTTGCTATGTCATCACGGATATGGTAAGGATATGGTAAGGATATGGTAACAACGCCAACAGATAGACAGGCAGCAGCAATCCTGTCCGCGTGAGGGAAATGCTGGCGGAGGCATCGAGACCATCGCACCAGGAGGTAGCTCGTGAAGAGCAGCATGTACTTGTGGCGCCCAATCGCCGACGGATGGTCCTTGCCGGCAAAAACAGGGGTAGCAACACCAGGCACAAGGACTAGCTAGACCTCATCACGGAGAAGGTAACACAACGCCGAACGCCGGGGGGAAGTCTAATGCTGAATTTCGAATGAACTCGGTCTTGTCGGTGTGCAACAAAAGCATAATAACTTGCATCTGGTTGTTGGGTTTTCACGTTCACGTCATCATCCCGGACTCGGTATCGAGTACATGCACAAACATACTGGAGTGCGAGGGAAAACCGGCGCAACTTCTATTCCGCGCCTACTTCGCCACTCCCCCCATGAACTGCTGTGGCTATGGGCGCACCAACATTGGCCTTTCAGCTGGGATTGCTGCTGTTGGACGGAGCTTTGCGGCAGCAACGATGCATCAGTGCTGCTGAGCTGAACGACTTCGAGCAAACTGCTTGCAGCGTTGTTAGACCCGGTTCATCTTGAAATGAGAGAGGCTATTCTATTTTTAGCAGGAGTACTGTACCGTGAAACGTCATGGGTCATGGGGGTCTACAAAAGGCCTTGCGACACCCAGGCTGTGCCCTTTCGCTCTGGAGAGAAGCGGTCTGGGAAACGCTACAACGACACAGCAGTGTAAGGTCGTGCCGACATGGGCCCCTCTCCACTGCGCAACAGTTGCTGCGAGCTCAATCGTTTTGTATACGTGTTGAGGAAGAGGCCGCTCGCACTAGGTGCGACTTGGGTCTGTCAAGTATTTTCGGGACGTGCATCATCCTCTAACCTCACCAGGCCATCGACGGGCTCGTATGCCTTCCAAACCTTCCTCAGCGCCGGCTGCACGTCATTCCTTTCCCGCGCAACTGCGCCCAGAACGCGTCCAGTCATACGGAAAGCCATTGTGTCCTCTTGCCTTGCTCGCTCTCCACGCTTTGTGCGCAGCGCACAGCGAACAGGCGTGCGACGCGGTGGGGCAGCACAGAGAGTTGTATCAGGTGAAGATGGGGGGGGGGGGGNGGGGGGGGGGGGGGGGGGGGGGGGGGGGCACCGGGACAAGAAGAACGTGTGATCAACGTGGAAATCGGATCCTCGGTGATGTCATCGTTGTCGGCGCGGTGGGTGGGAGGCCCTCTTGTCTATAGGCGCGCGTGTGCGACCATTGTGCCGTGGGCGTGGAAAGGCGGGGCTTATCAGCACAAACTTCCGGGCTTTCTCCTTTACATGGTCCGGTCTCGATGGACGAAAATCTCAAGCACGCGAAAAATCTTGGAGATGAGACATCTACAACAGGTACATGCACCGTGCGTAACGCCGACGGTTCCACGACTCCCTGTCTGATTTGCCCTGCTGGTGGTGGTGCGCTGACGATATGAATCAAAGGAGGCAGAGGCGGCAGGTGAGCTTAAAAATCCCTTACAACGGCATTCCCAACAAATTTCTGACGGGATGGGGTGTGTCCGAAGATATCCTCGGACGCACGAAACGACTGGATTCAAAGATGAAGATTGCCAACATACGCACCACGTGCAGCAAGCCACCTGTTGAGAATATCTAGACAGACATGTGTCGACATGTTTGTGCTCAATGCGTAAGGCCTATCTTCACATGAGTGTTCTGCACGTGAGTTGGAAGTGAACTCTGTCGTCTGCCCCTCTGGCCCCTATCCTCCACTTCTACCAGCTAGATAGACGACCCAACCAGGGTCACATATGCATATATATGAGGTGGGGGATGGACCCCCTCCTACGGTTCCTGCCTGAGATATTTTTCTCGCGAGAAGGGTACAGCAATCCCTTCCCTCGCGACCTATGAAGTCGATCAAGTTTACTAACAACGAGCTTTGCAGCGCGTCGCTTCTAACGGAGACCAGGATGTATTTGAGAAAAAACTCACTCTGTCGGGATTTGACCCCATGACTTGGCCCTAAGCAGGCTCCTAGGCTACCCACTAGACCACCGAGGCGACCGGTCAGTATGTACATCAGTAAATATTTTTCCGTTTAAGACGTGTTTCGCCGAACTTCCAACGGCGGTACGAACTCTTCTCCTGAAACCCTGGCTACCGTGTAGCATGAACTACCACCCCCCATGGACCTATTTTCAAACTTCGATTAGTCTTGAGCAAAAACAGCACTGACGGTGACAACAACATGTGCGGCATTGGAATCGTCTCGTGGACAGCTTCCGAAAACGAATACCTATGGAGTATATTTTTTATCCTCGTCGTCGTGGAGCAATCAAGCTTTGAAAATTCAATCCAGGCCGCGTGGAATCTTGTGCCAGCCGATGGTATACGTAGTGAAGGGACACTACAATGCGTACGCCTCGCGAGCCGTTGCAGCTCAGGAAAGAAATGGAATGAATACATGGTATGGCGTGTTCTTGGCTTCGAAGCAGGCGACCCTTCAAAGCCAACAAAGCCAAGACGTGGGAAATTCAGCAAACTCGCGGCGACCTACGCCAACGTACTCCAAGACAGGTTCAGGGGCGTTCTCGAAGCCAGTGGCTCACCTTTCCAAGTGGCCCAAGAACGTTTTTTTCGCGAGCGACTTCATTGCCGACAAGGCGGCTGCTGCCGCATGTCGCAAGCGTAGCACGGTCAAGTCGTCACGCGGGGCCGCACCTAGATGCCGACGGAATGCCGGCGAAGGCAAAGAGATGGGGCGTGGTTCGCGGGTCCTGGGGGAGAAAGCACCCGTGACTCGGATGAACGAAAACAGGAGTACCACCGTATTCTGTACCTCCGGTGGTGGGAGGGCGTTTCAACAGAACAGCGTACGAAGCTCTGAGAACGGCGAAGGAAGCACGGGTGCCAGTGTTGCTTGTGACGAAGAAGCCTTATTTCTCGAAGAGTCTGCCTCTGCGCTCTTGCTCTTGCACTCACGTTTCTTCGGCAGAGCGAGGCACCCAGACGACGTCGTGTCTAGCCTGTGCACGCTGTGCAGAGAGGCCGGGTGGATGGGCAATCCTCTCGTGGTATGTTCCCTGGACCCTCTTGTTGTGGAAGAAATCGTAATAGAACGGTTGAGAAGAAACCACCACACCGACGTGGGGTGGCAACGCCATAACAACAACAGCGGGGGAAGCAGTACACCTGCACAACACTACGAGGATTACGACTTCTCTTTTGAAGATTTCTATCAAATTCTGGCAGATGTGGCCGGTCTGGTGTACTCAATCGAGGCTCACGAAGAGCGACAACGCGCTAAGCCGGGCAGGGCGATGCACAGGCTGCTCACGGAAGGTGTACTTCCTCTGGCCGAAGACAACCAACCGCGCCGTTGGTCGCCGAGGTGAGCAAAAATCAACCAGTCAGTTTGAACCACTCATCTGCCAGTCATGCCGACAAGTTTTTACCTCACTGGTGCCTTCTTTACGCAGTCTGTCGTAGCAGAGAGAGGAGCCATCTGAACGCACATTTCTTGACTTGTGCACAGCTGCGAGAGAAAGAAGTGGTCACTGTCTCGAGACGATAGCAGTTATTGACAGGGCGTTTCAAGAGAGACGAGGCCCATTGCCTCGAAGTCATGCCGTGAGAAAATTGAGTTCCTTCCTAGCGCTGCACGAATCGCCGGGTATGTTACTTAGAGGGGTACGTCTGGTATAAACCTTGAAGTGCAAGCTGTCGAAATTGGATGAATTCCTTCTTTCGTCGTGCGGGGTACGTGTGGAACCTACTTACCTTCTCTGGTGTGGGCGGTTTCTGCGCTATTTCAACGCTCTTCACTGTGCCAGATCCGAGATGCTCTTTGGCCGCCCCGCCCTCGCAGCCCTGCGCATGCAACGTGACACGCTACGCGAGCTCTACTGCACCTACAACAAGGATACAAGAGCAAGGGACGGAGCTAGCGGGTTGAACCGTAACCAATTCCTAGAGGCGAGCGTTGGTGTATCCTTCGCTTCATATTGCAAACCGTTCTGCGGCTTTCCCAGAAAACCTCCGTAGCTTGTGCGATTTCAAAGGTAGCCACTCGCGGAAAGCGCTACGCACACAGGTGCTCCAGCTGGCGCAAGGTGTGTGTCCTGATTGGCTTAAAGCAACACCGTTAATGGGAACACTGTTTAGACCGGTGACGATGACACCAACTAGCCCTTGATGCGGTTCAACGGATCACACGGTGGTTCAACAGGATCACTGGCAAAAGCAAAGAAATAGGCGTAGACTAACCATCCTAGACCCTACTCTTTCTACGGGATACCCCTCCACAGATGCTAACGGATTTAGGCGTCTCCCCGGTGTCTGTCACGGAACAACACGCGGCGTCGGTCTTCGACGACATCATTCGCAACGGTCTACCGGTCACCGGACCGTCGATTGGCAGAAGGCAATCTTGGGGAGAAGGAACCGTCCTCGGGGCTAGTGGCCGTGGGGACCACTGCTTGATGGCGGGCGAGAGATACAGTGGGCTGCCTTCTTCGTCGAACAAGCCTGGGGGTGGTCGACTGTGCTGGAGTCTGTTTCTGGAAGCGATGGTGAGTGCTGTTGTAGCCGCGCGTGCTGCTTGATGGGTACCTCCGTTTCCCTTTGCAGTGGAATAATTTCCCTCGCACTCTATTGCGTGGGTGAGGTCATTCAGCCACACAAGGACTCTCCGTTGAGTTGTACATATCATTCAGCGAGCACGACTCCTCTGGAGAAGGCGAAAGCTTGGACGCACAAGGAGAGTAGGAATGTAACTCGTCCTATCCATCAAGCAGCGGAAATGCTGATCAGGTCCAATGTAGAAGGCACCAGCACGCCTCCACTTCGCCAGAGCACTGGCGATCCATCGTCCTTCCGTGCAACGAAGCATGAACGTTCATACATCTCGTGTCGCGGCATTCCTCCCGTCATCGGCACCGGGTGCAGGCGGCGCTGGCCGTGGGGGCAGTCAAAAACGGACAAAGCGTGTTGCCTAGAAGGCGGCGGAACGGTAAACCTGCGTTCGGATCGCATCGCCGGGAAAGGGTGGATGGGGATGATGGTTGTATTCGAGAACCGACACACGCGGCGAACGAACCCCCGCCAAGCTGGTCCGTCGAGGATGATTCTCCCAAACTGCGGGTGTCTGACCGTAGAAAGGGGACCCGGGAAACGTCGGAAAGGCGGTGCGACCGACCATCAGGCCATAGGAGAGCTGAAGACAAGCGTAGAACGGATAGACACGGTACCCGAGCCCCTGCACACGGTACGGTCGAATCAGTGGCGGGTGCGAATCACCCTCTTCCCCATGGCCGAGGATTTTACCATGACTCAAGGAAGGGGATGGAGTTTATGCCAACGTTAATAGAAGCCGACATCACTCACGATCAAGCCAGCTCGCCACTTCGGTCTCGACACTCGCCACCCGAACAACAACAAGAGACCACACGCCAAGACGAGAAACGCAACCGGAGTGTGGAACCTGCGCCTGACGCAAGACCATCGAGATTCGATACGGCCACCACCGGGTTAGGCCGGGACAGTGCGAACCATGCGACGGAGAAGGCTTGGCACTCCGATGGCACCGACTCTGAAGGTAGCCATCGTCTTTACGAACAGTCCCACGGCAAGACGGGGCGTGGTTTGGTCCAGCAACCCCGCCCTCCGGAGAACCGGGTCACGCAAGGGGCTCCCAGTAAGGACAAGCGCCACGGAGTAGATTCCCTCCTGCCAGAGTCACGTTACGCAACAACGGGCATCGCCGCACGTACCTCCGTCGATGCTGAGCAAAGCCGTGCACGCTACAAGAGTGAGTCGAGGGAAAACACGAAATGGAATGCCACAGACAGCGCAACAAGCCACGCAGGGGCACATCCCAAAGAACGATATCATCCGAGGTCCTCAAACAACGTCGACGCGGTAATCGACAAAGGTCCGACTTCACGGCCCGTGCATGCTCGCCCAGAGGAGGAGAAGTTTAGGGCTTCGGCAGATATGTCAGGAGGAGTTCGTGAAAGATCACCGATGTCTTCTGGAGCAATTTGGGAAAGATCGCCGACGGCCTCGGCGGCAGGCGCTCTTCTTCACGCCGTGGCCGCTCACGGGCGAGAGGAAGCAGTGGCCGGCAGTAGGCGGCCTGATTCCGGACCAGCGAAGCGAACATCGTCCGTGATGCCATCCGTGGTATCTGCTGGGTCCAAGGCCAAAGGCCTCGCGGGCTCGAGCGAAGAGGTTCCAGGCGACTCGCGAAGCCGACAAAGTGTGATGGCAACCGTCGACAGCGCCAAGGGAAGCTGCGACAAGCTAGCCGACGTCCAGGCGGCCCCTGTGAACGTTTCCTCTCCGAACAATGTGTTCAACACCAAGGACGTTGCTGCACTGTCGCCGGCGCCTTGCCACGGTGGTCCGCCCTCTCTTGCGGTATCGGCCGCCTCGGGGGGCTGCAGGTCACCGACCTGCCGTGTTGCTGTGGACCTGGGTCTGCCATCACTCGAAGTGGAACAGGAAGGGGGCACCGCTGATGTGATCCTTCGCCCAGATCCGGGAAAAGGTTCGGCTCACCATGTTGCTCCTCGAGAAAGGTTGTGTGCGGGTGTGGGCGGCGCTGAAGGCTCGTACTGTAGGGCGGGTAGAATCGAAAGTACGGTAGGTCGGGGTGGCGCCGAAAAAAGCAAGGCCCTACGAGGAATCGACACACACGATGATCGGTTGAAGGGCGTGGGTCGGGCAGCGCGTGCAGACCACATCAAGATGGACTTCGAGGCGGCCGGCTGCTCCGTCGGGCTGTTCGAGGAATTGCTCGAGCCAAGGGTTGTCGCCACCTACTCGAGGTGATATTGACCCGGGGAAAACGGCGCAGGAAGAACAACGCGGGTTGTTTGGTTTGGGCCGGGTGGTGCCGACAGCATACACCAGGGAGCGCGCAATCTCTATTTAGTAGACAAGAACATGGTGCCAAGAATTTGATCCTCCAACCCTGGAGTCACGTTCTAAGCGAGCATTCGTGTGGTCCGTAGGTTTTGCGGCGATGGTGAAGACCATTGAAGACGCAGTAACGATCAAGGGGCAAAATTGTTGGTGCCACCGAACTTTGAATTCCAAGGCACTATTCTTATTTCAAGTAGCAGCGGCGACGATGTGTGGGTAGGGGGTTGCCTTGGTAACATCGTCCAAACACCGAATTTCCCCCCCTTTCCCCAATAATGCCGTGACCATGACACGCAGGCACCAAAAAGAGCTGTTGGTATTGTTCCAGCGGTATCGAACCCGCTTCGGTGGCAAACAAAGCAGGCTGCTGTTGTCCTGCAGCGAAGAAACATCCGGCTGTGTCAGTGAACAGGGGATATGGCGGTTTGTCAGCGACTTCCCGGTACTCAGGCGATGGGTGCAAGGGGACAATATCCTACTCCTGATTGTACGGTGAGGTCACCCCCAGGATAGAAATGGAAGCAGGGGGACGAGTTGGCGGTATTGTGCCGCAGCCCCCAACCTCGAAACGATGTGCGTTGACGACTTTCTGACCCGCAGTAGGGAGGTGTTCAATATGCCTTTCGGAGAAAAGCTCAACCTCCCTCCTACGCATACTTGGCGCCGTGCTCATGGTTGGATCCCGTCAAATCATGACTTCTGCCCAGAGCTTCGCTTCAACGTGGGCGGCAGCGTTGCGGTACGGAACATGCAGAAAATTCGATGGGGCTAAGCTACTTCGGCTTCCTGGAGGTGTTGACGAGGATGGCATATGCTACTGACGGTGAGTGCTTCAACGCTACAAAGGAGAACAGACTATTCGAGCGCTAAGTAGGCCCCAACAATGTTATAACCTATAAATGTCGAGCGCGCTTCCTTCAATGCATATCGAAGAAAGTGCCCGTGGTCGGTCGCATGAACGCTTGGAAATATATGCGGATGCAAGTTATGGAAGGAAAGGCGTGGCAAACTGAGAGGTACCATGAAAGAGTGTTTCTCGACGTGCTACAAACAGCTGTTCCACCTGCGTAGTCGCCCGATGGAGACAGAAATGACCTGGTACCTCTGTTGTCCCGCTCTTTCCTGGGGTCTCTTTGCTATCAATTCGTCCTCGTGTCGAATGATCGGTTGTTTACGAGGCTTGATTCACGCTTGGTGCCAGCCACAACTTCGGCCTCATTCCACCAGGGTTGAACACATTTTTGAACCCGTTAGGCTCACACGAGTGCTTGTACCTCATTCGCGAAGTTGTTGCTTGCCTCAAGCTTGGCTCTAGCCCCTAAGCCATTTCCCTGATCACCTAAGCCCCCCAATACGCCACTTCTCTTCAACGCAGGCCAGCAACCGCTGCACGATAAGCTCCTGGATTTGATCCACGCTCTCAGAAGCGAGGACCCTGAAAACATATTGACCTTGTAGCCTCCTGCGAGAGGACGAATCGACCGCGAGGTGGCACGCGGGCAGCCTTTTGAGGGGGTGCCATATGAGCCGCAGGAGCGAAACATAATAGCTTGGCCGATTGGGTGGAAGACAGATGGTGCATTGCTCTCGTTGTCTGGCTACATAGTAGTTGTGTAGGGGGAGGACTCTTGGGATGATTGGATGCTCCAGACAGAAGGACCGTCTTCACCCAGGTTTTAGTGTAGGCTTGACTCAGCACCTGTCCCCATGGTCAAGTTGGAATATTTTTTCTGTCTTAAGGGCCTGAAATTCTTGACTCCCAATCTCTAAAGTGTGAGCGCTAACTGTACACGGCGGGAACATAAAACGTAGCATTTGGGGAAAGTGCGGTGACTTTTACAGTCTAGTCTAGGCCTTTGGCGATGAAGCCATATATATATATATATATATATCCCTATTCTACAATCCCAAATGACACAGGCATGGCGTCAACTCGACTGATGTGACGCGCTTCAAACGTGGCCAAAACGCTCGAGACTGACGGACTGAAGCAGCACAACCGAATGAAACCACGTACTGTTTTGTTTGCGCCTCATCTAAGCACCCGAATATTGGGTGTTGAAATAGCTTCTGGCAAGCAGCCGCACGGTGAATCCTCCCTCCATACACGTAATGTTAGGGGAAAACGTGCCAACGTCACGCGCTTTTCATCCGAAATTTGACCAGAAAAACGAGAAGTACAAGGCAGTGCTGATCACCCCGGTGGTCCCGTAGAAAACCTCCTGAAATAAGCTATCGCAGTAGCGGTTGGAGGGCGATTCTCTTTCTGTAGCGTGTACAAAAAACGTTGCAGTTCGCGGTGCCAATCGATAAATTTCGTGAGTATTAACACACGCCGACTTCATGGTCGACGAGAGAAAGAGACGGCTGAATCATCAACCATTGTCGCGATAAAAAACAAAGGCAAGCACCACAGGGGGAAATGCGGAGACAAAAAAAAAAAGAAAAAGTAACAACTCCACCGTGACCCTCGCTGCCACGTCAAATGGCGCAAGAATGGATGCACCCTCTACAGTAGATGCCCGATGGATCATACGAAACAAAGTTAGGGTCGTGCTGCTGCAATCAAGTGAGCCACGAATCCTTCGGCTGTGCAACCCCAACAACTAGCAGACCAACTTTCCGGCAGCACGAGACTATATATACCAAGACCATAGCGACACGGCGTCGGATACTACAGAGATCCTGACGAGCGTGTCTCCCCAAACCAACGTGCACAATCTTGCTCTCGTCCCATCTATTCTGCCTGCCACCAGTCTATATCTTTTTTTTGGCATATGTTTGACGCACCAGCCGGCGGGGGTTCACACACCAGAGGACGAAATATGACGCCCCCTTTTCAACCGCGCCATCCCGCACTGCGGCAACGACGCCGCCTTAAACAAATAACGGCACCCAGCACGCAGGTTCAGACAATCTGCGATGCCAACTATTTGGCCAACACGATTGAAGAAACGTCTGTCAATCTCAACCTACAATGCATCTTCGGTCGGGAGTGCTGACTGGGATGCGGCATGACCGGAGCTTCAATTTATCGCTCATGTTACTTACACTTGCAGCAGCCTCTCCCTGCTACCACGATATTCATACAGTGTCGCCTTTTCTTGTAGGCGTGCGGAGCACATGAGCGTACAACATTTGTCCTTGGCGTCTAACAAGCGTAAGACTGGGAAAATCGAGATCGCCTCGAAACTTCTTCTGTCCATAAACCCACATCTCGAAAGGCCGGCTGACTCGCCAAATCCCAGCATATGCAGCGGCATCGACCAATGATCCGAACACACCAAGCGACGGGTAATCGAGAACAACGGAGGCGTACCAACTGCAACTTCTCAGCCCGGACCAAACGCACCCCTGAGGTTGAAGTCTTGCGCGCCATATCCCACCACCCCTCCCCGCCTGACGCTACGCCAAAGAAGCATCATCTGGCCCACGCTTGCATACACGCAAACAAACAAAAAAACGTGATGTGCCCCCAGCAGTAGAGATACATGGATGGATGCAGGAATTATATCTGCACATGACATGTCTTACGTGTCTTAGGTGCAGCGATTACAGTGGTCTCCTAACCCTATCCCATCACAACTTATCTCGTGGCCGACACAAACGAGCTGAGCAGGACACGAAACACCTCTCGGTGCTCCTGCCAAGGCACACTCGTGTCGCTAGACCCATCGCTGGCGCCCACGATGGTGCTGCTGTTGCTGCTAGAACCAACGGAGCCGAGCCAGGGGGAATCCGGGAAACACAGCGAGTCGCACGCGAAGGATGCCAACGGTCCGCTACGCAATCCCGCCGATCGTCCTGCCCTGGCAACCTCTCGCAAAAAGCTCCTGAGAACACGGTTGGCAAGAATTTACGTCGGAAACAGTAGGGCGATGGGTGAGGTGGGGGTGGGCAGGGGGCGACGTACAAGATGTAAACGTTTGGTTGTATGGCTAGGCTGCGCCTCTCTGCCTCGACATGCGTTGGTATACATTGGACTCTAAATACGACAGATCGAAAGAAGAACATGAGTTCTCCGCAGGTCAAACAAGAAAACGAGTATGGCCATCGAAACAACGCCTCGCCTCGCGGGAGTTCCTCGGGAAACACTGTACAGCGGCATTGCGTGTAACCGCCGGGGACGGGAAGATTGACCATCAAAACTGCCACCAAACCATCAGGTGGCTGATTGCGCATGGAGACCTCCGTAAGCACCCACGCAAGACGCATAAACATTCAAGGTACAGTTCTACACCTAGCCGCGTGCCACCACCCAAGTACAACAAAACACCACATGCAATCATCAACACCCCACTGAATCGCTACTCACGCAACGTAAAGAAACGCGTTGTGCTGGGAGGGAGACAACGCTCTCAGGAACGTTTCCCCCCAAGCCCCTCCGGCGGTCCCGCCTGCCCCCTGGCCGCTAGCCCCCGACACCCGGTGGGCCGCGAGCTCCGATTCGACGGCCTTCACCGCCGCTACCGGTACGACGGGCTCTGGCAGGGACGACAAGAACGCCAGCATGGCGGACACCAGCGCCGGTCGTTCGATCGATGGCGGGAACTCGGAGCCTGCGTCCAGGCACCTGTCGGGCACACGACAACGCGGAGGAGGCGAAGGCGATTGCGAGGGACGGGGCCTGGGACATGCAAAAAAAAATGCCTTTGATGCATGCATACCGCTTCAGGATAAAGAAGCGATTAAATACACTGATCGTCATTCAGAGCGGGGCTGAGAGCAAAAATCCGAAGTCCGATATGCGCAATACAGTAGTCTTGCCGAATGCGCTGCGCTTTAGTTGCCAAGGGGACCGCCCAATTGCCCTCGTCTTGGCCTTGTGCTATAATAATGAATATCGTTGCATACAACACCCTGGCGCACGTTTTCGTGGATCGCGCGAGAGACTGGTTGTGCAAAGCGACGTGCCAGTCGACAGCGCCGACTGCCTCAAGTTAGCGAACAGTTCCGCCGCACCTGAGCACAGCCGCCGTTTGGTCCTCCAATGGGACGTCGGGAGGCATGGCCGTCTCCACGGGCGGGAAGAGTTCCGCCGCCCCCTCTGCCGTCTGCAGGGCCCCCGATCCAATCACCGAGTCCACTAACCTCCACAGCTCTACTGGAATTCCTAGCCGCGCCGCCTGCGGGAAGCGGGAACGTTCGTGGCAACGGAAAATGCTCAAGGTTTACGACGGTGAACCAAGGACCGTGGCGCGCTGTGCGAGGGAGGGGTAGACGAAAACTGAGGTTGTGGTAGCTGCCAAGGAAGGCAGCGTCCTGCTGTCTGAGGGGAAGCGTAAAAACGACGACAGCAGTGACATCGAATGATGTGACAACCAATGGAGTACCGGGGATCACGGAACACCGTTCGTACATCCACGTGACGACAGCCGCAACATCGAGAAACATGCGGTAAAGCAAGCAGCGAGCCCACGAGACTCGCAGAGTACATCGAAACTACGTAGCTAAAGCGACAGGTTTAAAGACATTCGGGCGTGTGGTGGGTGGGCCCAACAAAACAGCAGCACGCCAGAAGTTGCCACACAGTGAAGAATACATGTGATCACATTTACAGCTGCAGCAGAAATGGGCGTTTCACAACCGGATGGAATCACTCATGTCTGTGTATCGGCGTACGTAGACTCGAAATTATACGTCCACCATCCAGCAGATTATTTTCCCAGTTGGTTTGAAGACTTCAACACATCCCTTCCAACGGTACACTTTCTCGGAGGGTGGATCCCGTGCCGTAGCAGAAGGCCTCACTTCATCCCAAACTTTACATCGTCGACATAATTCCGCGGTAGAATAACGTCGAAATCATGGAACCACGCCGGGGTTACGTGGATGACAACAGGTTGCCTGCAAAGAGGTTTGAAAAGATCGCCGACTCGTGGCAAGCCTTCCCAACGGGTCCTGATTGCATGTGTGAACTAAAGAACAAGCGCCATTCATAACACTTCAAGCGTGGTGTGTCTGCAGGCATAGTCTGTAACGTTTTTGTCTTGTTTGATAGACAGACAGACAGACAGTACACCTGCGAGCCGTGTCTTGCCGAGAGCTGCTCCAACGGAGTTCCGAAGGCCCGGCTCGCGTAACGCCCCAGCACGGGGATGTAGTGCTCTGCTCCCCCCTCCAGGCGGAGGACCAGAAGTTCCTCTAATACCTCGAAGCCTGCGCAAAGCTCCTGCAGCCAAAAACCATGACAGACAAGCAATAGGTGCCAACAAACTCAAATTCAAGAGGCAAAAGAAGCGCGCGACCGCACACACACAGCGTACTGGGTGCGATTAGAGCTCGTAGTATCAATCTCCTTCGGGTTCACATCACACGGACCCATGAAAATCGGCACAAACGCGATAATTGCTGTTTGCTTCGCTAAATGGCGGGGGTGGTAGTGTCAATGGCCAAGACGGACTTGAACCGATGGAGGAAGTTCAGCCATGAACCCAAAAAGTCCGCACACTCTGCCACAATGACAGAAGCTAATGGCGTCCTTTCCGTGTAATGTACGTACCCGTGCGGTTAGGCGGTCTATGAACACCGACACACGGAACTCCGCTCTCTCCCCTGGAGTCAGCAGCGCAAATGGCGGCTCCACACGCAGCCACCTTCGGAACGGCACTAGCTCGCCCAGCTTGGAGGTGAATCTAAGGAACGCCAACCTTGGAATCAGATGGAAGAGGAAGAGACCACAAGAACGATCGAGACGGAAGTTGAGACGATACAATACAAACATCGGTTCAGAAACAGACCCCGCTGCTGTGTGTTTATGCAAGGGTCCAACAGCGAGGCAAGTTGGCCTATCGTGAGTCCGTTGGTGGAGTCTTACCATTGAAGATAGAGACAGATTTTGTCCTTCATCTTGCATCTGCGAAGATTATTCTTATTCATAGGTTCATGTTCGTGAGGCTTTTTTGGCGGCCGACATTGGCAAAGAAAAAACAAGAGAAAAGGCAAATCCATGCACACAAAAGGATAGGTGGAAAAGAGCGTCTGCGAGAGTCCACGTTTTCAAGCCAGCCTTTATGTGGAACGCAGTTGCTTCGACATGCAGGCGGAAGGGGCGTTCCCGATGGCCTAATCCCCGGCAGCACAGCCCTTTACCTTCAACACCGCCGAGATGATGCCGAACGAGGAACGGCGTAGCACCGTGCAAGCAGGTAACCATGACAAGGCTGCTTTGGCACGAAAACGGTTCTTACGTCAAGATCAAACCACAAATCACCCCCAACAAAAACGCGTCAGCCCTAACGAATTAAAACACCGCACCGACTTTCGGCAGCAAACACCAACAGCATGCAAAGACAATCAAACGGTACCGATCGCAGCGAAGCCAGCAATGATGGAGAGCATTGAGCAACCCTAATCCTAACCCTAACCCTGGCCCAATTTCCAGTGTTTCAAGCGCTGTTCGGGGGGCAAGCGATGCGAGATAGAGTACACGAGTACGGTCAGCGCGTCGGGGCCGCTCTTCCACGCCGTTCCTCTTAGCTTAGCTTACCCTTGCCCGACGTTGGCCACCCTCAGCACCATTGACGCCATCGTCCTGTAGTAGACATCTCCTAGGTCGATGGCGGACGACCCGAGAGTTATCTCCGGGGCGGAGCCCTGCGACTCTACCCGTCGGATCTGGCCGGTTATGTCCTCGAAATTTCGCCGGTGCTCCGCGCGCTCGATGAGGCGGATCTTGGGGGGGTGGAGCCATCACCAACAACGGCAAAGCGAGTGTGGTATAGGGTGGTATCGACACGGGAGGGGGAGGGCAAGGACAGATATTATACAGCACAGTATGTTGGCCAGCTGTTGTGCAGTTGACAATGTGCCGCGGAGTGCTCTTGCGGTTGTTAGCACCGACCAGCCTTCGCTGCTGTTGGCACTGGTTTGTACCAATGTCAACACCAACACCAACACCAACACCAACACCATTACCATTGGATGCACGGAGAAAAATCGCAACCCCACCCCCCCCCGAAAAAAAAAAAAGCTGTAGGGAACAACCGCCTTCCTCGTCTACGTGCAGATCAACACGGTAACGAATACGAATACGAAGACAAGCATTCCGAAACAAAACCAAGCTCCGCTACTCCGCACCCATACAATACCTGCTCGCAGCCGAAGACAAGTGCTGCAACGAAAAAACGGGTCAAGAACCAAATATAGTACGATCGTTTTCATACCTTGACGGATAGCTCGGCACACACTGGCTTGTGATCGGACAAGACAAGGTCGCCCCTAGCATATCTGACGGAAGTCACGTGCCCGACGTCGCGCGTTCGCCACAGAACGCGATCACACCACGCCGGCGCCCGTCGCTTCTTATCTGGCCGCTCCTCGTACAGCTGGTTACGACCGCAACCAACACCACGAGCAGCAAGCACTCTGATTGAAACAGTCACCCTAACGCCTTCACCGGCAGCAATGGGTAAATATACGCCCGACCTGTATGTTCAACCAACTACCACAGTATGCAAAGCCCTGTGTGTGCGAGTTCCCACACACGACCGTTGGACCATTGCATGGAAATGGTTGTAACTGTAGAGGATTGTGGTGGTGCGCACGTGTGTACCGACGTGGGCTCCGGGACTGTACGCTTTAGGGATTAGGATATGTTAAGTTAGGTTAGGGCTAGGTTAGGGTTAGGTTTTGGACTCCGGGCTACAGCAGTGGGTTGGGTTTTACGGTACGGGCTCCGAGGGTGTACGCTTCAGCTACAGCATACAGGTACATCACCGTAGTCGTTTTAGGGTAGGGAAAATACTACATATGGTAGTCTGAATCACCAATTACATTTCGCCCACCTTAGGGCACGGTAAGCACAATTAGCAATCTGAATGGCGTCCTGAGCATAGAGACAAGCGTTACGGCGGGGAGGAAACGACGTGATGAATCAACACGCCTCATGCCATAAGACAGGGCGCGAAAGCAAAGCTCACTTGTGTCCCAGGCTGGTACTTGTACGTTGGTGGGAAAGTTATAGGAGCCTCTTCGAAGTCCCCGAAGGCTGCGCGGGGGCCCCGCGCTCTCTGCACGGCGGTGACGGTAGTGCAGGCCATTCCAGGTTCGCAAGCCACCGCAGCATTGCAAGACAACCGGCAAATAAAGCACCCGCCCAACGGAGGAACGGCGTACGGAAGAATTGTCGTCAGAAGCATCAATGGAGATGGAGGCAATGTCATCGCGCAAAAGAGGCCGATGGGGGCAGTGGAGGGGAGGGTTGGGGATGTCCTATCTTTCGTCGTCGTCGATGGTGGGTCTCGAGACAACCAAGCACACACACAAGCCTCGAGATACCAAAGGGACTGCATTAGACACGTGACACAAAAGACAGCAGACACTGCAAAGTGATAGAACTTGTGTGTACTTGCGCTGAGAATGTGAGGGTTAGGCTTAGGGTTAACATAAGGCGGGTTTTTACAACCCTATCCTTTCGTCTCGGAACTCCCGAACGGCACACGGATCGGCATTAGTGTGCGGGACCTGACCTCTGACTATATACCCGTGAGCTATGGTTACGTTAGGGATAGTCAGCACATAGCACACCCAACGAAAGCGTGGACCTGCTTCATTCAATTCGACCACACCTCCGTTGTTCAAACCGATCCTCACACGACAGCTGCGGCGGCGTACCTCTAGGTTGAGCTGATCGTGCGCCTGGAGGAAAACCTTCCCCTCCTTGCTGCGGCAGCGTCGGAACACCTCGTCCAGGTGAACCGTCTCTGAGACACGGTAATTCAGATCGCCCAGCCAAAACACTACATCGTGGTCTAGAATACCTACCCCGCCCTCCACGCGCCCACGGCTGAACTCGCACGGAAGGTCTCGGAACTCCCTGTGGGCGTGTTCAGGTGCAACCGATTGGGGGGAGGGGGTGTACTCATACTCATAGTCGTGCATGCCGTAGTCATTAGACCATGGACCTCGCATCCCCACAAAGCCGGGACGGAGCACGCCGGGTTCTCACCGGACCAGGCTCTCACATCACCAAGCGGGGGGGTGATTCAAGCGGTGATGTGACCGGTTTCAACGAAGTGCTGGTAGAAAAATGAGAACTTCTTATTCAGACGCTCTGAACGGCGATTGTGACGCGAAAAACTGGCATCTTCAATACATATCCAGGCGCCAGATTTCTCAACGCCAGCAGCGGGACGTCTGCAATGGTAACAGCGAAGCACACAGACAACCCTGACCACCTGCGAGTACAGCAGTACCGAAAGTCATCAACCTCTCTCTCGCCCGCTGCCTCTGCCTCCAATGAGAGGGCCACCACACGCCATCCCATGCAATGAGGTCGAGACAACAAGACTGCTAGGGAGGGCATGATGCATAACCAGGACCAACTTTCAAATCAACAAGACTGCATGCTAAGGGGACCATGCAGCACAAGGGGGGTCGACCGTCAGTCCAGAAGGCTGCTACAGTAAGGGAAGCATCGTCGACTTTCAACATAAGAAGGCAGCTATGGAGAGCATCCAGCACGCAGTCATTAATACCCACCAAGCCGTTTCCGGGTCCCCCACGAAAGCCGTCTTATTCAAGATGCTCCAGAAGTCGGCGTTTCTGCCTAGGACGTTAGCCCTCTTCGCGGCCATGTGCGCGCACACGAAGCAGAGCGTGCTGTCGTACAGCGAGAGACGCACCACCACCGCACCCTTGTTACCCATGACCCCCATCATGCCTACCCGTGCCGTCGTTGCCTGCATCGTACAGTAACAACAAGTAGGGTTAGGATTAGGGTTAGGGTTAGGATAAGGGTTAGGATTGGGGTTAGGATTAGCGTTAGGGTTCCAAACAACAGGAGTACAACAAACATGTGCACATGTGTTTTGAGATTGAGCATAGCAGAGGGAAAACAAAAACCGAAAACAAGAAAAGAGCGAGAGGCTAGAGTCAAATAGACGGCGAGAGCGGTGATGCTATGTGGATCAATCACTGCAAGACACGGAAGTTGTAACGACCAACAGTAAGCCAAACATGAAGCGAATGCTGATGGAAACGCACACGACCGTCGTCGATGCGGCAAGGGACAGAGAATTTCCTAGAGCCGCGGAGGAGCTAGCCTATCTGTGCCTTTCAGCGAAAAAGGCGAGGCCGTACGGTGGGCAGAATCTAACCTAATAGCGACGGGGAAAAAGTTCGGGGACGAACAAAAAAGCCTCATGATCCAAAATAATACAATTGCCATGGGGATATTATTCTTCGATGAGTTGACCCAAACAAAAGCTGAAACGCTTTTTAAGCGGAGACAAGCGTAACGACAACAGCAGCTACCAAGAAAACATCACCTGGACGTCTTTGACGGCCCCATCTTGGATGTGGTTTTCTCTCACGTACACGAACAGGACGATGCCGACCAGGCTGCGGTGCTCGACTAGGGTGTACCGGCTCCTCTTGGTCGAGAGGAACTTCTCCAGCTCTTGCCGCCATATCGCCGCACGCTACAAACCACGAGCACAACGATACCGCATTCGTTTGAGGAATCACTATCATATACTAAGTTGGCCGAGCAGCCCCACCCTATCACACGATCACGCTCCATTCCCAACTACAGCGATGAAGAGCAGGCTAGGTATAGCTTTTGACAGCTGCTGCCTGAACAGCGACATCGCATGAACATTTGCTAGCTGATCGTACGAGACTGCTGTTGCAATTCGCCAGCACGTGCCCTGGCACGCTTCGGGGACTTTGATTTATTTCTGGCAATCATTGTATTTGATCTGCGCATCGGCCGTTACACCTTTTCGGTTCAATTCTGGAGGCAGCCGGTGTCACACATGGGTTGTCCTCTCCGCCTTCGTTTTGCTGTGCTTGCCGTGATTTTTACCCCACTATTACCCCGCTGTTCACTGCTGGACTCGATCGGAACAGTAGTACCATCTCGGAAGAGAGTCAGCCCGTGTCCTTCCCTTGTCGGCCGTGCCAGTCGAACTGCAAGCGCAAAATAGCGCTCTATTTCTGCATCACGAACATAAATAATCAACCGCTTCGTACAGGCTCTCCTACACCAAACGTAGCCATTCGAAAGGAAACGAAACACAGGGCAAGATGCAGTAAACACGTCGGGATGTCGCCATCAGCAAGAGGGTAGGCCGTGATGCTTGCTGCTGCACCTGTTGGCTCTTGCTATCCGAAACCGCCACGTTGACGGCGTTCAAGTCCACGATTTCCTGGAACCTGATCAACGACAGGCGAGAAGAGAGCGGGACACAGAAAAACCGCAGAGAAGGCAAGCGCAACAAACACAAAAAATGAAGGGCTGCACAACACGGCGGTAGCACACGGTTTGCCGCAGCTGCAAACCACCGTTTGCATACACGCAGGCAGCGCCTCTTGAAGGAGTCCTTGCGAAGGCTAGGAAATGCCGCAGGAAGGCTGGAGACCCGGAAGGCCCCTCGGGTAGAATATCGGTCCACTGCTGCATGCGTATCCATGTATGTCGGCGGGAAAAGGCTGTCGCGTGCCCGCCCCGCCTTGCTCTCTTCTGCGTAGACACGCAAAGCGAAAAAATCTCAGGGTTGATACAGCTCGACTCGATTATAGCCTAAATCCTCCACAACCAACAGACTAGTCAACAAGTCACTGCACCACACTGCTGCACTCACCCCAGAGCGTAGATGTCAGGTTCCCCTGTGCACTGCTTCAGCCAGGGTCCCAGATCTTCGCCCTCGGACTTCTTACCAGCGACATTGTACGTGCCGCAAAACACTGTCACGGACGGGTATCGGCAGAAGTTGCCCTCCCTGCGACAGGTCCAGGGTGCGGATTGCTGTACGCATGAGCGTGCTGTGAAAACTTTGGATGTGCTGGGAAAGGTATTACAAGCGAGGACCTGATCGATCGGAGCAATACACGAGCGCGTTCAGCTCAGCGCGTTGCGAATTCGACGGAACACGCGTGAAATACACACGTAACCTGCAGTGCCGCGTCTTCCAAAGCAAACACTGCTGTCTAAAAGTAATTAACTAGTGTGCCCCCGCGACTGCTGTACCGCATCTCTCAAGGTGGACCCGGGAGGTTTGACTTGCGGCAAGATGACGGCGTTTACCTTGGGAACAAAACGATGACACCGCACCAACCAGACGGCAGTGCCCGCTCGTGTATGCGGAGTGATGAGATATCCGTCTCAAAAATGACGCGTAGCTGAGAGAATTTCTAAGGTTGGCTACAGCGCGTATGCATACGAAGAACCACACGAGGCACTGACCTAAAGCGTTTAGAAACGGCGAAGGCGCCCGATATGAAGCATGATTGCATTTATGCAATACACAAGCCGTAGAAGAACATGTTCTACCTGCTCTCATCATGTGGTGCCTGTAGCAGTACTGTACTGACACGCGTTCTCTCGACGCCGACGTCTCCATAACGGTTCAACAGCCTAGCAAGGTTTAGGAAACTGACACTTGCTGTAGCTGTACTATAATAGAGCTTATCTCAGGGCGATGCAATGATGGTTGGAAAACGTTTCGCAAAAGTAACAGGCAGAGGGAGCTGCTGCTGTGGCAAGGACACGACGCCTCACCTCTCCATTAAGCGGTCACTGATCCATCTCTTGCGCATGTTGTAGATAGCCTCCTCGTTGACGACCCGACCGCCGCTTAGCTCGCGGTCATCCGACGTGGGCATGGTGATGCTCCGCAAAGTGTCCCCACGGCGCATCCCTCCTCCTGCCTCCCGCGACACGTGCCTACTACTGCCTCCTGTTGGAACATCGCACTCGCCGCCATCTTCATCCAGCTGCCATTGGCTCTCTTGGCGCCATGCTCGGAAGGACTTCATCCAGCACTTCTCAAATGTCGGCGGCTTGTGCGCCTATGTAGCTTTGTTGCCTGTGTTGTAGACAGAGTTGGTTGCAGCTGGCGCAGCGGTCTGCGATCTGTTCTCGCGTTATTGCGCACAAAACTTTTCAGCTTTCAGGACACCAACTCTGCTAATCGTTCGGCATCAACAGCGCACCACAACGATTCACTTATGTCGTGATCCCCAGCACGATCAACCTCTTCAACGCGGGGCAAGAGCTTGTGCACACAGCCAGCGCACGAAGTGAAGAATATGGCAAATGTTGGCATCGCCCACTCGCCCACGCCAACGCACCGAGGAGGGACTGCAGATGTGAATCCGCGGGGACGTCATGTTACGGTTCGGCGGTATCGCGGTTCGGATACGGAAACGGCGTTTCTTTTTTCTCTGTTCTGCGGGCTGCGTGTTCAATGCGACTCCTCCGTCTGCGCGTGCTGACCGTGCGAGACTTGCATGTGTTATACCGCAAGTCGTGAAGCTTTAGGCGTGTAGGTTTCTCGAAGAAGATTCGTTCGTCATGGTGGGAATTGCCGCAGGTCGCTCTCTGGAGGGACAAAATGCCGCCAGGCTGGCCATGACATGGAAAGATCGACAACGCACACGGGTTCCTGTGGTTGATCTCGACGACAACCCTTTCTGCGTTGAAAGGCGGACGAACGAAGAATGGCACATGATGCAACTCAACAAGGTTTGTCGAACATAGCCCAATTTGAGAACAATAGGTTGCATGAGTGGTTTTAAGGCAAAATCCTCGTTTTTCTGTACATGTACGGCACAGCAATAAACATAGCGACAAGAGTAACAAGCATTCTGTCTTGTAGTGATCGACCGACACCCATCGCCTCTCACTGCCCAACTTTGCGTGACCTACAATACTGCTGTAGGTGGCGCTTCAAAGGAAGTGGGGCGTTTTTCTCCCCAGTCTCACACCAGGTACCTGACGTCTCGGGGGGGTGTCAAGGATCGGTATCGTTTGAGAGACGCGGCCTCGAGTACACCAACGTCAACATGCACTCGGGGAAAAAGTAGGAGCAGCAGCACACAGGGCCATGGCCTTTGCAAACGAAACAAATACGTTGCTAATTGATTCAGCAGCGTACTTCAATTACTCGTGCTTCCCGAAACTCTGTCTTGCTTTTGTTGTACGCGCAGAACCCATCGTTGGTTCACCTGACATCAGCAGATGTACCACGGACGGCCTCTTTCATGATGGACACTAAGGTGACAGTATTAGCTTGAATTTATATTCCACTTTCTCCCATGTACAGAAAAAAAAAAAAATGAACTGACGTGTATACGGAGCATGTTATGGTTTTACTTGGGCTATTTTGTACTATTACTCTAATACATGCCTTCGCTAGGGCATACGATGCAAGAGTAAGCTACAGCCGCTGGTTGATGGCGGTGTCCTCTTGATGGCGGTGTCCTGTTGTCTTGCGACTCGAGGTACAGTATGATATCTTCACACGACAGCTGTGATGCTCTGTGGGGCTTTAGACCCCTACCAGCATAGTCTACACCTTCAACATGTGATACCTGCGCAGCCTGACCACTCGTGGGCGAAGTTAATCATTTTATCAGTGTCGATGTCGAAAGCTTATCCATCGGGGCATCAGAGAACACCCAACGCCATTCCCTAATAACTACAGTACGCACGTCGCTTTTGTACCACGTACACAATACACAAAGCGGTTAGTCCAACTACCACCGGATGGGTGGGAGCTGAGCACGACGGTGAAACAAAATGGGGTGCATGTGCAGCCGAGGACGAACAAATGGGATGGGTGGTTGGGTGTTGCCTAGGGCACCTACTGTATGTCCTCTCATTGGTGTTCATACCCAACCACATGGGCTGCGCCAAGCAAGTGTGTGGATAGTAGGACGCACGAAAAAAAACTACTCCCGTCGCCGTTGCGAACCCCCCGCGCGCAGAAACCTTTCCGAGAATTTTCCCGGAAAAAAAGGAACTTGCTGGCCTGGTCTATTCGCGCCGCCTCCGCCTCCGACGCGGCAGCTCAATCAACCGCGAACAAGACCCACATGCCTACACGGCGTTTGAGCACGACGGTTCGTTCCGACTTGGACGGTACCGACATAGGCGAATTTTTCAACATGGAGCGAGGGATGTCAGGTCGCGTCCTGCACCCCACTGACCGTGTGGAGGTAGACGTCGACACACTGCCGACCCTGGAGCCGTACCGGCGAGAGGTGGTTGCGCAGCAGCCGATTACCTTTGGTCACAGGCCGTTATCTGCGTCGCGAATGTTCAACCCGTGCACAATGGCAACGTCGTGTGGAATCCCAAGCGATGGCCACCACCCCAGTACCGGAGGTATTCGCGGAAGGAAAAAGGGCGGTGGTGGACATAAAGGCGGGTCAAGCCGTAAGCGAGGCCGAAATAGCAAGCCTCGCCGAACGACCGGTCTCAGTGCACCAATGCTCAAAGCGCTCTTGAGGGGAGACACTCCGACAGGAGAGGGGGGGGCTGCGTTAGTGACAGCATCTCAGCATCAGCAGGAGCTGTTTGAGCCGAATGGAAACATCGTGTCTAGAGACTCGGCTCCTAAGCCAAACTACTTGGTGCTTGACGGGCAAGAGGATTTAACCGACTCTTCCGTAAATAGCGAAAAATTAGACGAAAGCAAATGGCGATCCGTTGACGACCTTGGAAGAGGAGAGGCGCTCGGAGAACTAGAATCGTGGCTGCAGACTTCGAGTCATAGTGGGCTGGGACATGGCCGGCGTAGGCTAGGTAACACGAAGGAGGGGCAGGAGCTGCACCGAATATTCTCTTCTGAGGTGAGAATCAAACGATTCAAGCGGTGCCGCAGACGACGTTCCTTGTGCCCCGACACTCCTGGAGTATGGTTGCTGAGGTGTGCTTTTCGGAGAGAGCTCTAGCGACAAGGCTACTATTGGGCTGCAGCTGGTCAGAAAGATGTCCTACACACGAAACAGTTGTCCCAAACGTTTTGTGGCGACCAGGGCGCATGGTCTTTCGTGGCACGACGAGCAGGTTTCCGTGGAAGATTTTTGCAAGACAACAGTTTCAGCACGCTGGTGAAAATAGCTGCCGAGCCACAAAGAAAGCAAGGAGTCGGTGCTCGCAAATACATGCATACTCTATCCTTGTATGTTTTTTGGGTGATATTCTTCTTTGCAACCCCAAGCGACTTGGGTGCTTGCGGCTGACTGGGGATGATTGCCATTGGAATATGTCAGCCTGAATGGTTATATGGCTGCCATGATCTATCCTGAAACTGCTGCATTTTCCCCTCCTCCGGGCCAATCTTTGTGCCATCCAATACCAATGCAACGAGTATAGCGCCCTCCTTGGGACGGAGCACCGGCACCGTTGCCTGCTCCCCAACATACGAGACGAGCTATCAGCTCGCTCTTGATGCCAGATCCAGACGAAAGGCTGCGGGACAAGCTAATAAAGTCCAGGAAGGCCGCCGCGGGTGTGCCGGTCACCGCCTCCAGCACCAAGGACGAGGTGCCACGGTAGCAGTGCGCCAGCTTCGGTTTTGTAAGGGAGGTAGACGCAAACAATAATGGAATGACGCAAACTATTCTTGGTCCGACCAGGGATAAGCTATTGTAGCATCTCTCCACCACCTCATCTGTCGACAAAAGTGCACGGAAGAAACACCCAACACCAAAATATCACAGTTGGCGCTGCCAGGGTCTCGGTTTTATTGTAGAGGAAACGCTTGGAAAAACCAAGCCCAAAAATTGAGATATGTAGCACAGAGGAGAGGGACATTAAGGCATCCTTTGTAGCAGCAGATGAGAACCCACCCACCGTAGAATCCGAAAGATTGAGGCTCCAACGGTAGGGCTGAAGCGTCTCCGTCCGCGCTTTTTCAAGCCCGCGCGTGCCGCAACAGCCCCAACTATTTTCGCATGACGCATGAGAAAGCGAGCCGATCCCCCCCTCACCCCTCGCCGATTCCACCTCTCTTGCACTCGTTACCGTGCAGAGAGAACGAGAGCTGAGGCCCTTCAACCCAACACCCATTGGACGGTGGGAGGTGTGCCCCGCCACCCCTCGCGCGGTGATCGCCCGACAAGAGATCAGAAGACTCTCGGAATTGCGGGAGGAGCGGGATCGCGCCATGGCCAAGAAAGTGCGGCAAGCTGAGTTGAGGTGAGGAAACACCGATCGAACCGCCCCCCTCTTCTCTAGCGTACGTTTATGGACCCGCCGACAACTTCGGGACCTTTTGCTTCACCATGAGGCCCCCTCCATTATCCTCTGTGGGGAAGCCAGTGCAGACAATATTGGGTCTAGAGTTGGGTAAGGTTCAAGTTCTTGCCCACCAAGGCGGCGTGTTCAGAAGGTGTAGAAAACCGTTTGTTTGTGGAGGGGAAAACATGTGCACCTCTTGCACATTGAATAGTTGCCTTACCGGGGATGTTTCATGCTGTATCGTGGATGACCACAGGGTTTGCTTAGGCGTCGCGTTCATACGTGTTTCTGTGGAATGGAGCGGTGCCGCACCGTTTTCGTATCACCTGAACCGACTCGAAGTGAAGAGCGCGTTCACGCAGAGGAAACGGCCGCCACCATTTGTTGACGACGATCACAGTAGCCAGGACCCCGACAAATCACACACCCATCCTCTATTGTCTCTCTGTCTGTCTCTCTGTCTGTCTCTCTCTCTCTCTCTGTCTCTCTGTCTCTCTCTCTGTCTCTCTCTGCGCCTGCCTCTCTCTCTCTCTCTCTCTCTCTCTCTCTCTCTCTCTCTCTCTCTCTCTCTC